GAAAGAAATTCATGCCGGCCTGCAAGATGGTTCGCTCAATATTCTCATAGGCACCCACGCCCTGTTGGAAGACAAGGTGAAATACAAAAACCTGGGCCTGGCGGTGGTAGATGAACAGCACCGTTTTGGCGTAGCCCAGCGCGCCAAGCTGTGGAAAAAAAACACGCTGCCGCCCCACATTCTGGTAATGACGGCCACGCCCATTCCCCGTACCCTGGCCATGAGCGTGTATGGCAACCTCGATCTTTCGGTTATTGACGAACTGCCGCCCGGCAGAAAACCCATAAAAACCGTACACCGCTACGACAGCAACCGCCTGCAGGTTTTCGGTTTTATGAAGGAGGAAATTGAAAAGGGCCGGCAGTGCTATGTGGTGTATCCGCTCATTGAAGAGTCGGAAAAAATGGACTACAAAGATTTGATGGACGGCTACGAAAGCATTGTGCGCACTTTTGAAAAACCCAAGTACCAGGTAAGCATCGTGCACGGCAAAATGAAGCCGGAAGACAAGGAAATTGAAATGCAGCGCTTTGTAAAAGGCGAAACGCAAATTATGGTGGCCACCACCGTAATTGAAGTAGGCGTAAACGTGCCCAATGCTTCGGTAATGGTTATTGAAAGTGCCGAGCGCTTTGGTCTCAGTCAGTTGCACCAATTGCGCGGCCGCGTGGGGCGTGGTGCCGAAAAAAGTTACTGCATTCTCATGAGCAGCCACAAACTGAGCAACGATGCCAAAACCCGGCTCAAGACCATGGTGCGCACCCAGGATGGTTTTGAAATTGCCGAAGTAGACATGAAACTCCGCGGCCCGGGCGATATGATGGGAACACGGCAAAGTGGCGTGCTCAATCTCCAGCTTGCCGATCTCACCAAAGATGAACATATTTTGAAGCAAAGCCGCCAGGCGGTAGAGCAAATTCTAAAAGAAGACCCAACTCTGCAACTATCCAAACACCAAAGTCTTTTACAGCAATTCAACCAGCGCAAAGCCGGGAAAATAGATTGGGGAAGGGTGAGTTAGGTTTAGTAGTTAGACGCTAGACGCTAGATCAGCTAGAGCCTGGGTCGCAAGCTGTCCTCCGCTGGCGGAGGTACCCGAAGGGGGGAGGTGGATTTATTACAACTTAGCTGAATAAAGTCTAATAAACCGCCAGATCACCCCGAATCCTGATCCGGAGTCTTGGACTATCCTCCGCTGGCGGAGGTACCCG